ACATAGGCAGTACGCTCTTTGCCAGAAGAAAACATAGGCAGTACATAGGTCTTAGCGATATTTTTTTGGATCCGTCTCCTCAGGAAAGGGAAACAAAAGCAAAAATAAACAAACAGGACACAATCAAACTTAAAAGCTTTTGCACAACGAAGGAAACAATCAACAAAACAAAAAGGCAACATACTGAATTGGAAAAGATATTTGCAAATGATATGCAAGATAAGGGGTTAATATCCAAAATATATAAAAAACTCATACAACTCAATATCAAAAAAAAAAACCTGATTAAAAAATGGGCAGAGAATCTGAACAGACATTTTTCCAAAGGAGACAAACAGATGGCCAACAGGCAGATGAAAAGATGCTCAACATCACTGATCATCAGAGAAATGCAAATCAAAACCGCAATGAGATACCATGTCACACCTCACACAGAATGGCTATCAAGTCTACAAACAACAAATGTTGGCAAGGATGTGAAGAAAAAGAACCCTGTACAATGTTAGTAGGAATGTAAACATTCCTACTGGCACAGCCACTACGAAAAACAGTATGGAGGTTCCTCAGAAAACTGAAAATAGAACTACCACATGACCCAGCAATTCCATACCTGGGTATATATCCGAAAAAAACAAAAACACTAATTCCAAAAGATACATGCACCCCAATAGTCAGAGCAGCATTATTTACAATTGCCAAGATACAGAAGCAACCTAAGTGTCCATCAGCAGATGAATGGATAAAGAAGATGTGGTATACATATACAAGGGAATACTACTCAGCCATAAGAAAAAATGAAATTTTGCCATTTGCAGCAACATGGATGGACTCGGAGGGCATTATGCTAAGTGAAATAAGTCATACAGAGAAGACAAATACTGTATGATATCACTTATATGTGGAATCTAAAAAAATGCAACAAACTAATGATACAACAAAAAAGAAGCAGACTCACAGATGCAGAGAACAAACTAGTGGTTACAGAGCAGGGGGGTAGGGGGCAATGTAAGGGTTGCAGAGTGGCAGGTAGAAACCACTGGGTGTAAGATAGGCTCAAGGTATTGACAATGTGGGGAATATAGCCAATATTTTGTAATAACTGTAAATGGAAAGTAACCTTTCAAAATTGTTGAAAATTTTTAAAAATATGTATTTTTTTTTAAAAAGAAAGAAAACTTAAGGAAACAAACAAAAGAAAGAAAATATAAGAGGAAATCTTTGTGATCTTAGGTTAGGCAAAGATTCCTTAAATATGATACCAAAAATACCTCCCATAACAGAAAAGTGTTAAATTGGATATCATCAAAATTAATAACTTCTATTCTTTGAAATACTCTTTAGATATGAAAAAGACAAGCCACAGACTGAAAGAAAACATTTGTAAATCATATATCGAATAAATGAATTTTAACCAGATATACAACTGTCAAAAAATAAGAAAACACACAACCAATTTTTAAAAACGCACGCAAAATACACCAAATAATATACATGAATGGCAAATACGTGCAAGAAAAGATGCTCATCTTTAGTCATTAGGAAAATGCAAACTAAAACCATAATAAGGTATCATTACATACCTTATTAGACTCTAAAATAAAGACTGATCATACCAAATGTTGGAAATCATGTGGAACAAATGCAACTCTCTCATATACTGCTGGTAAGAATGTCAAACGAAACAACTTTGAAAAACAGTTTGGCAGTTTTGTAAAAAGAATTACCATATCACAACATATAGCTTACTCAGGAGAAATGAAAGCATATGTCTGCATACAGACATATGCATGAATATTCACAGCAACTTCATTTGTAACAGTCAAACACTGGAGCCAATCTAAACTGCCATCAATAGGTAAATGGATAAACAAATTGTGGCTATTCATTAAATAAAATACTACTCAGCAATAGAAGAACATACTAATTAATACACACATGAATGAATTTCAAAATATTTATGCTGAGTTAAAGAATCCAGAAACACATGTATACACTATAATATATTATAATCCCATTTATAAAAAATTCTAGAAAATTAATCAATTTCTTGAAAAATCCTATTTAGCTTTCAAGACTCAGTACTGAAGCATCCCCTTCTTTTTAAAAACTAATCTACAGTGAAGCAGATCAGCAGCTGCCCAAGGACAGAAATGGAGGCGAAAGGGAGATTTTAAAAGGGCAGAAGGAAACTGTTGGAGGTGATGGATCTGTTCATTATCTTGACTGCATTATAGTTTCACAAATGTACACATAATTTACCCAAGTTATCAAATTGTACAGTTCAAATACATGCAGTTTATTGAATGTCAATTATATCTCAAAGTTACTAAGTTTTTTAAAAAGAAAGGATAAAAACACCAATCTGCTCATTACACTGCCCTTTTTAACATCCTTTAAAGTTTCCATCATCACCTAACAAGGTCAAGTCCAAATTTCTAAGTATGGCATACAAAAAGTTTTTGTCTACATTTTCAACCTCCTGACTTATTACTCTCCCCATATCCTTTTTTAGTTCAAGCATTTCATACTGAGTGATTGATATCTGTATGCCTTTGTGTACGTAATTTTCTCTATTCCTGAAACAGCCTGCCAGAATCATCCTCTTGAAGATATCCTATTTAGCTTTCAAGATCCAGACCTCAAATGTCTCCTCCATTTAAAAATCTTTCCTGATACTCTTTCTCAATTCCTTAACCAGGCAGAGCTGGTTGTTTCCTCTTTGGTCCCAGCAGTGTTTACCTACCTTGCACTAATTCTTTATGTCTACCTCTTTTCTCCACACTATTCAAAAGTAATGTAAATGTCTTGTATTTATAACCTCAATGCCTAACATGGCAGATGGTACAAAGTAAACACAAAATAATGTTTGTTGGATCAGACTGCAATGAATTAAACTGATTTTCAATCTCATGACTTTCCAGACAGAAGGTCATGATTTAGACATAGTTGCTGTGATTCAAATAAATATGTTAACAGCTTCATGTTTGATCCAATGCTTTAGAAACATTTTAATATATTTCCAGTATTCAGAAAAGTACAGATATTATTGTACCAAATATACCCATCACCTACCCAGATGTGTCATATCTTAACATTTCTCCAAATGTACTTCAGATTTTCTTCCTTTTGCGGGGCAGGAGTTGTCCAACATTATACATATAGATAAGGTCCCTTGGGTATTCCTCCCAAGGCAACCACTACCCTGAAGTTGTTTATCACACCCATGCTTATGTATGCTCCTGAATAATATATTGTTTTACTTTTTAAAATTTTATGTTGTGGTATACTGAATATATCTTTTCCCCATTTTGCTCTTTTCACTAAACATTGCATTTTTGAGATTTATTCATGCTGATGATACATGTAACTCTAGTTTAGTCATTTAAATTGGTATATAGTTTTCTAGTATATGAACAATGTCAGTTTATCAATCCTCTTTACAGCACACTGTTTGTTTCTAATTTTTCACCACGACAAACAACATAGCTTATGATGTCAGACATGTCATGTGCACCTACAAATATCTCTAAGGAATTAACAAATTACTCTCCAAAGTATACCAATTTTTACTTCCATTGGCAGTGTATGAGAACTTCTATTGTTCCACACCCTTACCAATACTTAGTATCAACAGACTTCTTAATTTTTGCCAACCTATCGAGAATGACAGTATTTTCCCTGTTTTCAGTTTCATTTCCCCACTAGTGAGACTGAATATCTTATTGATAATTTATATTTTCTGTATTTATGTGTAGCCTTTGACTTGTTTTCTATTGATTTATATGTATAACTTATATTGATTTACTATCTATCAATATAAGTATACAGACAATATACATCAATACATATAAAAAATTAAGACTGCCTCAACTCTCAACTTCATACTTAAGAAGTATGTACCTCAGTTTCTTCCCCTGTAAAACAGGAATAATAACCTCACAGAAATGTTACAATGATTAAATGAGTTAATAACATACCTAAAGTGCTTGGAATAGTGCCTGGAACGTAGTATGTGGTATACAATTATTAACCACTAATATTTGTTTTATAAATCTTCTGCTAGTGGGCTTCCCTGGTGGTGCAGTGGTTGAGAATCTGCCTGCTAATGCAGGGGACATGGGCTCATGCCCTGGTCTGGGAGAATCCCACATGCCGTGGAGCAACTAGGCCAGTGAGCCACAACTACTTAGCCTGCGCGTCTGGAGCCTGTGCTCCGCAACAAGAAAGGCCACGACAGTGAGAGGCCCGCGCACCGCGATGAAGAGTGGCCCCCTCTTGCCACAACTAGAGAAAGCCCTTGCACAGAAACAAAGACCCAACACAGCCAAAAATAAAAATAAATTAATTAAAAGAAGGCTCAACATCTAAAAAAAAAAATCTTCTGCTAGTCATATTGGTTACAAATACCTTCTCAGAGGCTGTGACTTATCTGTTACTTTGTTAAAGTATGTTTGTGGAAGAAATTCTAATTTTTTTTTTTTTTTTTGCGGCACATGGGCCTCTCGCTATAGTGGCCTCTCCCGTTGCGGAGCAAGGGCTCCAGACGCGCAGGCTCAGCAGCCATGGCTCACGGGCCCAGCCGCTCCGCGGCACGTGGGATCTTCCCGGACCGGGACACGAACCCGTGTCCCCTGCATCGGCAGGCAGACTCTCAACCACTGCACCACCAGGGAAGCCCAGAAATTCTAAATTTTAATGGAGTCAACTTTTCCTTTCCTTTGATATCTGTGTTCTTAAACATCCTTCTCTCCCTAATGCTCTATTTCTTTATAAGATAGGTCTAACTTTCCCTTTCATATCTTGATTTAATATCTCACTAAAGAAAATCCGACATGCTCAACTTTAAAATTGTTAAAATATACTTCTAAATAATTTAAAAATAATTCTGTTCCCCAAGCAAAAATCCTGTTTTTTTATTACAATAAACAACTGTTCATAACCAGAGAAAAATTAAAATACACAACTGTATACAAATAAAATAAATTTACAATTACTCTTACCCTATGACATCTTTCAAAGGCTTGCTTGGTTTCTTGTAAAAGATTAACCACCACTTCTTGGGATAGGAAAGTCTCTCCATGAGTATCGATACTTGGCCCCAGTGGTAAGTTGGTACGCTGTCTAATTCTCTCTTTCAAATCTTGAATACTAGTGCATAATACCAACAAATGAAAAAAGAACACTACTATACATAGATTTCAATTTCAAATACTCTCAAACTTAGTATACATGAACTAAGAAAAGGAAAGAAGAAAAATAGACCAAGAGCCAGGAAACCTAAAACTTCTAATTTCAGTAAAGTTCTGTAAAGTGAAGCAAGCATTAATCTCTAAACAGAAGACGTTCGTCTGAAAAATGAGTAGATTTGGAGTTATTATCTCTAAAGTCTCTCTCAACTCTACAATTCTGACTCAGTAGCCCAAAACTCCTTGTCTGGTTTCCTTAGGAAGTGGGCTTTTCCAAATAAGTTAATATTCCAGATAACTAAATGGTCCTGCTTAAAACAAACCTTAAAATTTTAAAGATTTTTAAACATATTAACCATTTAAACATATTGTACATTTCTTCATTATTATTAAACATAATTTAGCTTTTCTCAATGACTGAGGGTCATTATTACATGACCTATCATTATTACATGATAGTATCTTTATAAAATTACTTTATTTTTTGGTCCTAGAATATGTAGCTCCAGACTGTGAACTAATTTTTCAAAAAATTCTTATGATTGTTTTTTAGGTTTTCTCTTTTACTTGCTACTGCCTTTGAGATGTCACTTCTTATTCCTAATTATAATCTCTCCATGATCATTATTTAATATATGACAAACTGGGAAACAAGAAAATGACTTGGGTGTGCATTATGTGAACTGTCAACTCTGATTATATGGCTCCACAGAGGTCATTCTGATTCATCCAAAAATCAACTCAATTCCAGATAGTTGAGATCTAGATAACTGAGTTGCCACCAATTCTTACAGCAAATCATTTAATTTTATTCTAGTAGGTAAGTACATTCACATTTTAATGTATTACTTAAATAATTTTATGCCCAAGTCATGAAAAAGCTCAGGGTACAAAATTGTGAACTATCTGCATTTTTTTTTTAACCACACCTGCAATAGCAGCAATAAAACAACGTGCTTCCTAGTCAATAACATGGAATAATTTACTCAGTCTAAAAAAAGGAAGGAAGGAAGGAAGGCAGGAAGGGCACGAGGGAGGAACTCTTTACAGTACTAGTATTCTGCTTTACATTTTAATAATGTTATGTAGCAACATTTCAACATGTGGCTCGAAGGACAGGATTTGATGAATGGTGTAAACAAACTGAATTAAAAAAATTCTTCACAGAAAATTCTAATGACTATCAATATTTCACAAGTTTGTCCAAATATAATAGCTTTTAATATCTTTAGTTTTAACTATAACATTTAACAAAAGCACTTACCCTCCTGTGCCAATCGATCTCTTTTGATGGTTTTTTGAATCATAATAGCGCTGTAGAATCATAGCACTTCTGCTTTTCAAATATCCAGTCTCCACTTCAATATAGTTCTCCAAATAGGAAATGAAAATGGACTTGATAAGCTTAGACAAGAAAGTCTGTTTATCAGTACCTAAGTTAAACTCCATCAACTTGCTGGAAAGATTTGTGGTTCTTTTCATGCAAAAGGGAGAAAAAAGATTAATGTATATTTTAGGTATAGTAACAATATTTAAGAAATACATATTTTTATAACGTGACTTTCTAATAACTTATGTTACACCACCATTTCATAAACCCTGGGAAGTTACTCAGGATGCAGACAGCGACTGTATAGGGTTATATATATTAAGTAGAATGAATATTACAAACAACATCATGGTTTTGAAAACTACCATAAACTCCTAGAGATGACTCAGAAGAGGAAACTGAGGCAACCAACCAGACTAGAAATGGCAACAGTGGCAGAACGGCTTCAAGTATGCCATTCATGACATGGTATCCAAGTCAAAATACTGAGAAGTCTACACGCTGTTCATTCTCTTTAGTCTTTGTCCCTGGACTTTCCTCTAATTTTCTGTTTCTCACTGTTGAAGATAGGCTCACAATAGTGCTGTTGCTGAGATGGACTTCCTGATTATAGTACTTTTGAAAACCCTCTTCTCAAAGCGATGACAATAAAGAAAAGCAATAGAGTTGGAAAAAAACTCCACATGAAGCTTCAACAAAGTATAACACTGCCATTTACAAAAGCACAAGACAAATTTTCACATCAGACTTAAGTCTGAAATTGTCATGTAAGAGTTTGTCACTCTGGGGGCTTCCCTGGTGGCACAGTGGTTAAGAATCCGCCTGCCAATGCAGGGGACACGCGTTTGAGCCCTGGTCCAGAAAGATCCCACATGCCGCAAAGCAAATAAGCCCATGCACCACAACTACTGAGCCTGCGCTCTAGAGCCTGGGCTCCACAAGAGAAGCCACTGCAATGAGAAGCCCGGGCACCACAACAAAGAACAGCCCCTGTTCGCCGCAACTAGAGAAAGCCTGCACACAGCAACAAAGACCCAACACAGCCAAAAATAAATAAAAATAAAATAAATAAATTTAAAAGAGAGTTTGCCACTCCCTTTCTCAACTTTTAAAGTTTTAACTGCAGATAAATGTAATAATAGTTCTTAAAGAAAAGAATTAAAGAATAATGAACTAGCTTACAATTAAAATCAGAAACAAAATTCTCAAGTTTTAAACAAAGTTTTTATATTTCATTAAAGTACATTAATATAAAGCATAATATCCAATTCCTTAAGTTAACATGCTAAGAATGCTGCTCTTGTACAATACTAGTCTATACAGCCAAGTATTTAATGCTAAAAGGTATATTGCTATCAGACAAACTGTTATTCAAAAATACCTGAATACTTCCCCATTTTCTATTTGAAAAAAAGAAAATGTGAGATATTACTATTTTCTAATAATTAAAAATATACCTTGTATATAAATCGTAGAGACTTTTGAGATACTGCTCTGCATCGGACTTCCTACATTCTTCTAACTGGTCTTTCACAAAGCTCTAAAAAAAAAAGTCAACATTCTGTCAGTTAAGTAAATATTAAATTATATAGTCAATTTTTTATTTCTCTAGAATTACTCCACATTCTTGAACTGTTCTAACTTAAAATCCAGTGGAAAAGGCAATGCATAGAAAAGAGACCAATATAAAAAAAATAGGTTTTTAATTTTTACTGCTTCTCATATTTACTCATACATTTTATCAGTGTTGGGAATAAGCATTAAGAATCTCAAATACCTTGTCTTTTGAAATCTGCCTATCCTGCCTCATGAAGTACATTGGGGGAAAAAAAAAATCCCAAAAAACAAAACCTGAAGCTATATCAATATGGTCAATTCCTTAAAGCAGCTTTTCCCAAACTGTAGTCTAAGTAACACTAGTGTCCTTTGAGACATTACTATAGAATTGGGAAATGCTGTACATTACATCTCCACTTCTAGAGAATCACAATACATATTAGTATCTTTAAAGGCTATTAAAAGTCCTGAATTGTGTTTTAAAGACAACACTTATTTAATGTTGCTCAATCCATTGGTAAACATAGTTTAGGAAATGTTGCCTTAAAGTATAGAGCTATGGAAGTCAAGGTTGTAAATGAAATTCCTGTGTTTTCTTTTAATCTTAGTACCATATTATAAAAAATTCTACAGATTGAGCTTGTAATTCTTGTTCAATTTCAAAAATGCCATCTATTGGTCAAGGTAAGAAACCAATAAAAATTAAAACTGAGGTTAATCTACCACAACCTGATACATGTGTAATTTCAAACACATCCTCTGATGACACTGATTAGCACCTTTTCTCTTGGTGAACAATAAAACATTTTTTTTTTTAAAGCATGACACTGTCATTCCTTTCTCCTACACTTAATAAGTGGATTACTATGCCTAAGGATATTATACAAATAAACTAAATTTTAAAAACTTTTAAAACATAGAGGAAAACAATCACATATTGCCTTAAGTACTTAGTCATTGTTTAAAATTACCTGTAGTTTGATTTCAAATACATTTTGAATAAGTTTAGCCAGTACTGTTTCTGGATTACTAAAGATATCTCCAACTTGTTTGTTCACCCGTTGACAGAGTATTGCTGCGTCTTCAAATATATCATTTCTCAAGTAAGCACCCTAAACAGCAGAGGAATTTTACATTGAATATATAATTTTAAAATGCTTTTTAAAAACACAAATTAGCATAAAATAAAATAAAATCCAATAAAGTGTACTGTTATGTTACCTCCTGGCACTGCTTTATATAAACATCAACACAATGGGAATAACCCTAGGAAGAAGAAAGAAATACATATCACTGTTTTGGTTCAATTATAACAATAATAACAACAATGTCAATAAAAGAGGTATTATATGTAATAAAGCTATGTCTATGCCTCAATAAATGGCCAACGGTAATAGCTACTGTCTGGTTCCCATATTCCAAACTTAAGGTCAATCTTTCTTGCTTTAGAATTATTTCATCAAATGTTTGACTGAAAAAAAAAAAAAATTAAACACCCAGAAGGCAGACAATATGATTTTCTACATCAAACTACATAAAAATTCAGTGATAGAATATTAATATTATTGAATATAAGATCCTTATTTAAATAACATTAACTACCTAAAATTTAATATCATTTCTGGAGAAAGATACAAATGTACATTCAAATTATTCCAAATAATGAAAATTATCACTGACTCATACAACTGGGGAAAAACAGAGACTATAATATATACAATTCATATAACCTCTGTACTCTTTAAGACTAATCTGCATTTTAAACTTTTACCATTTACCTTAAAATGGAGTAAAACAGCTGCTACTTCTCTCATTCTGGAGATTTCAGCTCTTCTTTGAGCACCGGTAAACTCCTGTATCAGTTGGCATTCTAAGTCATGGTATTTACCTAAAAATAGAAAGTCATTCAGCTACAATGAGACAAAGTATCCAAGTTATTTATGAGTATGTGGTTTCTTTATAAATATAATAACTAGGAATCTAGCTTTCTTTTAAAAGAATTGTAAAAACTATATGAGACTATAGGTAGGGGATCAAAACCCTATAATATACTGTGGTATATAAATCTGTATTTTCAAAATCAAAAAATCTTCCCAACTGTTAAAACAGGTGAGCTCCTATAGTGTGACTGCCATTTATCACTGTTATGTAAAAAAGCAGCTTGCTGGCAATATCATTCTCAATGGTGAAAAACTGAAACCATTTCTTCTAAGATCAGGAACAAGACAAGGTTGTCCACACTCACCACTATTATTCAACATAGTTTTGGAAGTTTTAGCCACAGCAATCAGAGAAGAAAAAGAAATAAAAGGAATCCAAATCAGAAAAGAAGAAGTAAAGCTGTCACTGTTTGCAGATGATACTATACACAGACAATCCTAAAGATGTTACCAGAAAACTACTAGAGCTAATCAATTAATTCGGTAAAGTAGCAGGATACAAAATTAATGCATAGAAATCTCTTGCATTCCTATACACTAATGATGAAAAATCTAAAAGAGAAATTAAGGAAACATCCCCATTTACCAATGCAACAAAAAGAATAAAATACCTAGGAATAAACCTACCTAGGGAGACAAAAGACCTGTATGCAGAAAACTGTAAGACACTGATGAAAGAAATTAAAGATGATACAAATAGATGGAGAGATATACCATGTTCTTGGATTGGAAGAATCAACAATGTGAAAATGACTATACTACCCAAAGCAATCTACAGATTCAATGCAATCCCTATCAAACTACCAATGGCATTTTTCACAGAACGAGAACAAAAAATTTTTAAATTTGTATGGAAACACAAAAGACCCCGAATAGCAAAAGCAATCTTGAGAAAGAAAAACAGAGCTGGAGGAATCAGGCTCCCAGGCTTCAGACTATGCTACAAAGCTACAGTAATCAAGGTGGTATGGTACTGGCACAAAAACAGAAATATAGATCAATGGAACAAGATAGAAAGCCCAGAGATAAACCCACGCACATATGTCACCTTATTTTTGATAAAGGAGACAAGAATATACAGTGGAGAAAAGACAGCCTCTTCAATAAGTAGTGCTGGGAAAACTGGACAGCTACATGTAAAAGAATGAAATTAGAACACTACCTAACACCATACACAAAAATAAACTCAAACTGGATTAAACACCTAAATGTAAGGCCAGACACTGTAAAACTCTTAGAGGAAAACATAGGCAGAACACTCTATGACATAAATCACAGCAAGATCCTTTTTGACCCACCTCCTAGAGAAATGGAAATAAAAACAAAAATAAACAAATGGGACCTAATGAAACTTCAAAGCTTTTGCACAGCAAAGGAAACCATAAACAAGACCAAAAACTCTCAGAATGGGAGAAAATATTTGCAAATGAAGCAACTGACAAAGGATTCATCTCCAAAATTTACAAGCAGCTCATGCAGCTCAATATCAAAAAAACGAACAACCCAATCCCAAAATGGGTAGAAGACCTAACTAGACATTTCTCCAAAGAAGATATACAGATTGCCAACAAACACATGAAAGGATGTTCAACATCACTAATCATTAGAAATGCAAATCAAAACTACAATGAGGTATCACCTCACACTAGTCAGAATGGCCATCATCAAAAAATCTAGAAACAATAAATGCTGGAGAAGGTGGGGAGAAAAGGAACCCCTCTTGCACTGCTGGTGGGAATGTGAATTGGTACAGCCACTATGGAGAACAGTATGGAGGTTCCTTAAAAAACTAAAAATAGAACTACCATACAACCCAGCAATCCCACTACTGGGCATATACCCTGAGAAAACCATAATTCAATGAGTCATGTACCACACTGATCACTGCAGCTCTGTTTACAATAGCCAGGACATGGAAGCAACCTAAGTGTCCATCGACAGATGAGTGGATAAAGATGTGGCACATATATACAATGGAATATTACTCAGCCATAAAAAGAAACAAAATTGAGTTATTTGTAGTGAGGTGGATGGACCTAGAGTCGGTGATACAGAGTGGAGTAAGTCTGAAAGAGAAAAACAAATACTGTATGCTAACACATATCTGTGGAATCTAAAAAAAAAAAAAGGTTCTAATGAACCTAGGGGCAGGACAGGAATAAAGACACAGGCATAGAGAATGGACTTGAGGACATGAGGAGGGGCAAGGTTAAGCTGGGATGAAGTGAGAGAGTAACACTGACATATATACAGTACCAAATGTAAAACAGATAGCTAGTGGGAAGCAGCTGCATAGCACAGGGAGATAAGCTCAGTCCTCTGTGACCACCTAGAGGGGTGGGATAGGGAGGGTGGGAAGGAGACGCAAGAGGGAAGAGATATGGGGATATGGGGATATGTATAGCTGATTCACTTTGTTATAAAGCAGAAACTTAACACATCATTGTAAAGCAATTATACTCCAATAAAGGTGTTAAAAAAAAAAAAGCAGCTGCCTGGGAAAAACCTTCTGGATGTCATTTGTGATAGCAAGAGACATGAAAAACCTTAAACCTGAATTTATGGAAAGGGTGAGCACAATTATAAAACACTTTACTAGAGTTCAGATGCCTTTACTACAAACAATGGCAGATTCAATACCAAGGTACACCTTAAGACAACATGTGGTATTTGATTCACTACATTCTTGAGGCTATTAGGGTACACTTTTGGGAAAACAGGTGGTCTCTGAACTTCAATGACTTCCCAAAACAGTGACTTAGACTACCACGGGAGCCTGCAAATATAGCAGCTTTTCAAGAAATTCAGAATGACCTGCTTAAAATACAATCCAAAGATCAAGAATCAAGCTATCATGTAAGAAGTTAAATAGGTACTGAAATGGTCATTACAAGCTAGCTTTAAAAAAAGAGAACCTACATTAGATCTGTATGAGTACAAAAACAATCCCCAAGATACACTGTTAAATTAAAAACACAACGTATGGAAGCTATTTGTATAGTATGCCAAAAACACAAGGTATGGAAGCTATTTGTATGGTATGCCACCAATTATTTTAAAATAAATGCGGACAGCAAACTAAATTCTACACATTATATACATGATTTATGTCTTATGCTTGTATATCCATAGAATATTCTGGAAGAATACTCAAGAAATTGATAACAGTTGTTTCAAGGAAGAGGAATCAAACCCAGGGATGGGGTGGGAGGATGACATTGTTCCCACTCTCTTCTTTTACTATTTTCTTTCTTTTATACAAGTAGTTTGATTACCTATCCAAAACAGTTAAATAAATAGAACCCCACTTACTTGCAATTTTGGATTTTACTTCTGAAAATCTGAAAGATAAAAACCAATGATGAGGTTCATTATTTGTGACAAATGTACCATAGTAATTTAAGATGTTAATAAAAGGGGAAACTGGTTTTGGGGGTACATAGGAACCCTCTATACTAAATGTCGTCAGAAAAAAAGGGAAGGAAGTGGGGGCAGGGAGGGAGGGGAGGGAAAGACAAAGCCAGAGGTAAGAGAGTACTGATAGTAGGAAGCATGCCATGTAACAAAACTGAATTTGGGCAATCCAGATGGGGTCTCTGGTTCTCACTGAGGAAATTCACATTGAATAACCAATTCCCCCACCCCTTTTAAAAATTTTTTTAATTTATTTTTTGATGTGGACCATTTTTTTTTAAAGTCTTTATTGAACTTGCTATAATATTGCTTCTATGTTTTGGTTTTTTGGCCCAGAGCCATGTGGGATATTTAGCTCCCCAACCAGGGATCAAACCTGCACCCCCTGCATTAGAAGGCGAAGTCTTAACCACTGGACTACCAGGGAAGTCCCACCAATTCCCTTTTAAAGGGAGGAATTCTGTATGAGGCATTAACAACCCAGAAAGCCCCAACAACTGGGTTACTGTCCCTACTCATATTCACTGGCATTTTAAATTCACTCGATATTTGTCTATTTTCCCCTCAGTTGGGATTTCCTCATGACGTTCCACTATTGTTACTTAAAGAAAAACAACTATAAAATAAGCATATACAAATGAGTTATTTTAAAACTAGAAAAATAAAATAGAAGCCATAAAAAGGACCCAGCAATGTGCCTAGCATTCAATCTCTGCAAATTCAAAAACTAAAATATCATACACTACCATACACTAGAACTTTTTTCAAATCATAAGTATCCAGGGGGAATGCACAACATGGAAAATTAATGTTGAGAGATCTTATGTGATTAGTTTGAAGAGACAAGAGAGTGGCTGGCAAAAGAGATGCCAAAGACAGATGAAGAAGCTAATACTTTAAAGATCTATACAAAATTGATATCAAAGTCACAGTGGATCACAAAGTATGATAGGCCATACTGATCTTTGTGAAAAAATTAAACTTGATTAGGCTATATATTCAATTCTAAGGCCTGATAAGCTAAAACAAAACTGTAAGAGAAGCATATAATTGAGAAGCAGGAGAAGATGAGTATATGCCTCTGTGTTTGTAGGGGTGGGAGACAGATGAAGCCAACAATTATGATGCACTTATTGTGAGCCACACGTTTTACCCATTTAAGTAAATGGTTTAACTCTGAAATAAAGTTAAAGCGAGGTTTTTTGTGGGTGACATTAAAAATCATTGCTCATAATTCTGGACAAGTATGAAATTATTAATAATAGCTAAATGATAGATGATGATTACTGCTAGTCCTTTATGATGATACAAAGTTCAGAGTAAAATAAGATATATTTGGGGGTAGGGAATTCACTTTCACTCTGTTTGGGACATAATGGACAAGCTTTAAGTATAGCAATACATTTACATTTTACCTGTACCTCAGGATTTTCAAGTATTACCAAAAGAATAAAATACGTATATTATCTGTTAAAAGGGAAGACATTTTTTCCAGATATTTAAATGGGAGAACCACTGACATTCCATGAACTAAAGGAAATCATGAAAGAATTTCCTTCTCAGTGAAGTTTCTTTTAGGATGAAACCATTAATACCTAACTTAGCAATGGCCCTAGGGCCTTGCATCTAAAACAGGACCTCTTAACCTGAAGTCCCTAGGAAGGAGCCTACAGATAGACTAAAGGGTCTAAAACTCCATGAAATTGTATACAACAGCCTGTGTATCTGATTTTTTTAAGGAAATTTCATAGCTTTCACCAGCTTTTCAAAGGTGTCCAAGACCCCTAAAAGCTTAAGAATTCTCATGTAGACAGAAGAAAAAGGAGCTCAAGAGTCCCATGTTTAAACTTTCTCTGTCCCCTTCTACTCTGTTTATCAAAGTCCAAAAAAACAAGAAAATTCAAAATCTTACTCCAATTTCAAAATTCTCCAGCAATTTTTTTCAAAAGAAAAACGTAAGATTGAAATTATTTCAAGATATATCATTAAATTTAGTTGTTAAGATACCACATTTTTTTCAATCAGCTATTACATACTGTACCAGTACAAAGGCAGTCCTCAATAAGTTCTTGTTGAATTAATGAGCAAAATCATACAGGAAAAAGTACAATTTTATTCTATACACTACACCATATATCCAAATTAGCTCTTGAGAAATAAACTTGCCTATCAAAAGGTAACTCTTGGGCAATTAGGTGCAACTTCTGAATGATGTCTGCTGCCTCCTTTATCTATTAAAAAACAAAAGCAATAATTTTTAACAACCTTTATACATATCAAAAAATAATTTTATATTTAAAAATAGTAATATTCTTCTATGTATGCCCACAGACCCTCACCCAAACAATTTTCTTTAAAAAACACAACAAATAAAATCTTATGAGCAACAGGAATACATCTGGGGTATCACCAATAATGAGTCAATAAAACATAAATATTTGTCATTATTGTACTGAAATCTTGTGATTTTATAATGCCACAATCCCTTCCCAATGAAACCTGCAGTTCAGGTTTACTCCAAATAAATTCAAATCACTGATTGCTGAAAGCAAGTTTAAGTATCTTCTGAGTTTGTGAAATGATAAACAAGATTTATGAAAATAATTCAGATCATGCTGCTGTATAAATCCCATTTTAAGTGAAGAAAATAACAACAAAATGCCTGTCATTTAATGAACATATCAAGTTATAAAACTTGTTATAAAAGCAAAGATTAAGTTTAATATGAAGTTTCTAGAATGGAATAGGGTACAGAAATGTTTGTACTTATTCAAGTTGTGGAACTGAAGGATTTAGGCAAGGGGTCCAAAATTCTTAAAATGCAGACATTTGTGCTTATTCACAGTAATGTATAGGGGAGTTATATAATGTTTACTTTTTAAAACAAATTTCAAATAAGTATTGAGTTTTATTTTGGCACACCTTTAAGTAAATGATTTTATGATCATTCACTTTCTTTTACACTAAAAAAAAAAAAAAAAAGACAGCGACTCATACAAACGTGAAGGAAGAGCTGAGAACATGAACACAGATCTTTCTAACTGAGTACTCATGTAAAGTCTGGCAAGCAACTATGGAAAACAAAAGCAGGACCAAACGATATTGTTGTTTTGCCCAACAATAGTGAATATAGATACATTTCTGCTTCAGTTATCTCTTCTCTCCTAGTCAGCATGTCACTGTCATTTTCAGTTACCAGATGCTCACCCTATTCTACTGAACATGGGCACAGATACCACTGCATTATCTCTTTTCACCATGCCATTTGGTTGTACTAGCAATGTCCACCCTTTTCTCCTCACCAATACTCCCTTCAGAAAGGACCTACATACATGTTTTATGTTCCTATCAGGAGTTTGTTCTTGTTGTTTCAAGAGATGGAAGTCCCCATTACGTAGTGTTTGCAAACTTCACTTAATATAGTAAGAGGTATAGCAGAGTAAATAACACTTGATTTTATGGAATTCCCATAGGTAATTATTTTATAAAAATTGTTTCAAGCATAAGTAGCTCTTAAGGTCATCCATCAGTTGAAATATACTATAAAAGTACAGAAGCTTTCAAAACCACAATCTAATAACTTGCTTACATCTGCTACTGATGTTAGGGTAAGGTGAGAGATCACCCATGCTAACAGGTTAAAGATAATCAGGGCCATCAGGCATTATCTACATGAAGAACATTAAGTTGTGATGCTAAGAGAAACAACTAACATACTTTGTAATGACAGAGGTAAGAGGGAATATATACTATGGTCATAAAATGGTTTTTTTTCCCAGAGAGGAAAATTAAAAGATTCTGAGAAGCAAAGATTAAAAAAAACCAAAAATGACTTTGGAGCAGGAAGAAAAAGGAAAAAGATGTGTTGTTATCTTTTCGCAATCTAATTCCTTCCACAATCACACACCTCCCTAACTACATGGGTGATTTTCCTTTTCTCTCCATTGGGAAGGTGGCTAGCACACAGTGCAGAAATTGAGATACTTACAAGTTTACCTAATAATTAGCAATCTAATACCATATATGATGTTCCTAAGTGTAGTTAACTGTGATAGTACCAGGCCAAAAGTAATGATTCAACAGTAACCCAAAACTTATGGGAGATATGAGAGAAAAACAAGACAATTGGAAAAAGAGCACTAGAGTATAAGAAAAAAGGAACAAGATGAAAGAAAATGGGATATGGTAGAAAGTGAAGCAAAGGAGAGAAAATAAGAGGAAGTAGCTGAAGCACTGTTAGCTCTACTTGCTCTTCAAAAATTACAGACAGCTAGTGACCAAGTGAATGAAGTAGCAAGAATATGAAGATTTTTTCTTCTTCTTTCAATCAAAATCTTAAAAATTAAGAGACAATAGTAATACCATGAACTACACAATTACTTGAGGATAATTAAAATGTTTAAAGAAAAGTGTAAAAAACATAATTTCATTATGCAAAACATTACAAGCAATACAAATCAGGATAAAAATATGTATAATCAGTCAATTTAAAAATATTTATTTTTCTCTAGATTCTAAATGGCTGCCTTGAGCTGCATCAAATAAACAGACCAAGTCACACTGGGTAAAATATCGGCATTTTGTTTATAACAAAACATAAATATACTCTACAGTCCAACAGGTATAATCCAAGGTAACCCAAGATATAAGACTTGAATTATATACAATTTTATATATATATATATATATATATATATATATATAAATTTTTATATGTATAAATATGTACTTTTATAATACATTAGAAATATGTATGTTTATATTTAGGAAACATAAAATAAAAGCATTCCATAAGCTATCCTGAAAAACAGTTCAGTGTTCAAGCCGTGTGTGTGTGTGTATACACTATTATATATAAAAATCACATGAATATACAAAAGCTAGATATTGCCAGTATTTTACAAGTGTTTAAGTATAATAATGTTCTTGATGTTAATCTTATCAGTTCTACTTTATATTACAAATATAATTACTGAAACTCATTATTTAAAATATTGCCTTTTCTTTAGAGGAGTTATCTCTACATATGTAACCATTCCTTTCAAAGATCTCTAAAACTTATAAATTCTATACCCCTATATAGTTCCTACTCACAAAAAAATGTGTTGCTTAATTCAAAGTGAACCTCAGTACTACTTAGTTTTCAAAATTTCACTATCTGAGATATCCCATGGAGTACACTCAGAAAAATTCTGGAAGACTGTATTCAACATATTGCTGGATAATGTCACTATGTGCATATACCATCCATAAGAATGTCTATTTTTTCATGCATTTTGATTTTTTCCCCCGAGGGGAAGAAAGTGAGCTAAATAACCTCTTCCAAGATTGTAGAGCAGCCAACACCATGCAACCTTAGACCAGGATTAAGTGACTAGTGCTATGAAAAAGATTAACATGAACAATTAATTCAGATTTTTCTATTCTCTTTGATCCAAAGTATGCTTTAATTCTTTGTAAAAGATCTTTATTCAAGTAACAAAAACTAGAAGCTCTGAATTCCTTACACGGAAAGATACTTCAGCTTGTCAATGATTTAGGTCAGACCACCCCTTCACCCAATGGAATGTGACTATCAAATTCTGTTAATATTAAAAGTCAATTATGAGAAAGAAATATTTATTAAAACAGTTACATCAACATTTCTAAACGATACAAATTTCATAAACAAAAATGCCAGGCAATCCAACTAAAAATCTGAATATATATAGTTGATCAGCAATCTGTAGATAAGTGTACATTTCAGAATAAAGACTTTTAATACGTCAACTACTCAGTGATTTGAAGTCTGACTCTGGAAAGCAATAACTGCAGTTCATAATTAGGGCATTGTTATTAATGCTATAATTTGCTTTTATCCTTCTGACAGTGCTCACCTTTTCAGAATTTGTAAAAACATCAGATTTCAATTCTCCATCTAGAAACTCATTAAAGTATTTCATCAATTTCTGAGCCTCTACTGCCCGTTGTCTGGGTGTGTTTACCCCCTCCAACTGGTCTCCAAGGTGACAGACCTTGGTTGCTACATAGCTGATGTGCTCATCTAGTTCTTGGAAATGTTGGAAGGCAACCTAGGAAAAATGTGAACAAGCATAAAATACAATCAGAGAACCCAGATTAACTACTAATACTATCATTACCAAGGGGAATCTGCATTAGAAGTATTTGGAATCTATCACCTTAACTACTTACAAACACATTATCTTATGTAAATTACTGACTTTATTATTTTCTAACAGTTATACATGCTTAAGTGAAGGAATCTAAATATATGAAATCTGAGCAGAAATCAGCTTTCTAACTCCTAACACTAAAGAACAAACAGCCCCTGGGAGGCAGCAATGCTAAACATGCTCTTCTAACTACATTTACAAAGGGCAATCAAGTTCCACATCAGGTCCAGGCTATGAAAGAGGTTCAGAGGTTCCAGATTAAGTTTAGGGCCTAAGAATGGCTAAGAAGCTTGGCCTACTTACTCCAGAGTCAGTCTAGAGATCTAGTTTTACTCCCAAATGGACTGAGGAAGAGTTCTGCACATGCTTTTCCCAGTTACACCAGCATTCTCATTAGGGTATATACCTCATGACTTTTGTGAAGCTTCCCAGACCAGGTTTCCTCTAGGGAAAAACTTCATCCAGGCAATAGTTGGTCTGGTATTATTATTTTGCTTTATGATTAAATGAGAATGCAAATAAATACCTAAATATCCAAGCTAATCATGACCCCCTAAAAATACAGGTCTACTGAATTATCATTCTTAAAAGTTTGCACTGTTAAAGAGAAAGCAAGGACCACATTGTAACGGATACCACCCCATCCTAAGGGAGTACTGTGATCCCAAACCAACACTCAGTAGGCAAGCAAGTGCACCAAGAGTGCCTGATAACAATTCATTAACATTTTATCCCATGAGATGGGAGCAGTATAAAGAAACCTCAACAATTCTGTTGCATTAGATTTTTTTAAAAAACTGAAAATTGAAAGGAAATAAAGATATTAAAGCCTGTATAAACTACTCATTATTTAACTAGCTGTTTACCTGATTGCTTTTCTGGAGCTCTTGTACCTTCCTGGCAAATTCCTTAGCTTCTTTCTGACACTGTTGCTCTAGTTTCTCTACTTTCCTTTGAATCCTTTCATCCATTATCTGGAGTTCTTGAATATGATTTACAAATTCTTCTAATAATCTAACAAAGGAAAATTAGAATATGTATCAATCCATCTATAACTGATCACTAGGAAATGACCAGTTCACTTATAATTGTAAATAAAGTATTAGTGAGCATTCCTTGAGGTAAGGATGAACATGTTAATTTTCTCTTCAGCATCCTGTTAGGGATTATCTCTGACATAAATGAAAACCTCATATGGAATCTTTATTAACCCCCAGAATTGAAACCAATTTTATAGAAATAGTTAAAAAGGTAAATCGTACTATATAAAAATAATACTGTGCATTCCGGGGTATGGTGAATTTTTGTTCCCCCAATTTACAACGATACTTAAAACAACATATTCAACATGTTTTATTTTAGAGGTATAGCCAACCATTTCTAATTTATTACTAATTGGAGAAAATATTAAATTCTCATAATGCAATAAAATCCCTTCCCCCATATCACTTAAAGTCCTTCTCTAAAATAAAAGAAACATAAAAGGAAAAAACTAAATCTCAAACTTCTAATGCTTCTTCCTTTTATTGGCCAGTTGTTAACTCCCTTTACGTGAATGTTGAAAGGAATTCCAACAGTCACCTCTATTCCAGATACAAATTTGTACTAGATTGGGTCTATGAAAAAAAAATTTTTACTTCACCTTTTAGGATCAAATGCTTCAGGTCCCCCTCTAGAGCCTCCTCCTGGGGTTCTCCATACAAGACGTTCAATATACTCATCTGCCACAAAAGGCTCCTAGTTTACAAAATAAATGTTCCTTTAAAAAGTTTCACAGGCCATGACTTAATACTACTTACAAAAATGAAAGAGTTTGTACCATGTGAGAACTTAAAATTAAATTACTAATTAAATATATCTGTATTATTAAAATGTACAGGTTTTTTCAATTTAAAAAATCTTCAATAAACAAATTACTTAATGAAAATTAGTATATTAAAGTATTAAAGAGTATTATGAGCAGGAAAATACCAAAGGAAAAATGAGCAAGGGACACAAACAATTTATATAAGAAATACAAATGGCCAAGAAACATGAAATATATACAGCTTCACTAGTAATCAAATAAGGTCAAGTTATCACTTTTTTTTTTCTTCTTTTTGCCTCACAAACTGACAAAGTTTTTCTTTTTCCTTAATTATAATATGCATACAAGAGGGTAAGCTGAAATTCACTCTCATTATTGTTAGAAATGTTAAAAGATACAGTATTTTTGGAGGACAGTAGGTAACCTTTTGGTAACATCAAAGTACTACAAATGCTCATACCCTTTAACCCAGTAATTCTACTTTTAAAATTCTAAGGGAAAAAGCAGATATGAACACAAAATTTTTGTATTATATGTAACTCTGAAAAATTATTACACAAATATTCAACAAAATCATTATTGACAAATTATAGTAAACTTACAGGATAAAACAATTATGTTCCTATTAAAATCATGTTGTAAAAAAATTTAATGAAATGAGAAAAAAATGCTCATGTATAATATCTGATATTAAAAAAGCAGGATAGGACTTCCCTGGTGGCGCCGTGGTTAAGAGTCCGCCTGCCAATGCAGGGGACACAGGTTTGAGCCCTGGTCGAGGAAGATCCCATATGCCACAAAACAACTAAGCCCGCGAGCCACAACTAAGCCCGCGAGCCACAACTACTGAAGCCCGCACGCCTAGAGACCATGCTCCGCAACAAGAGAAGCCACCGCAATGAGAAGCCTGTGCACCACAACGAAGAATAGCCCCTGCTCGCCACAACTAGAGAAAGCCCACACACAGCAACAAAGACCCAACGCAGCCAAAAATAAAAAGTAAATAAATATTTTTAAAATGAAAAAAATGAAAAAGCAGGATAAAATTTTCTAAACTTTCCCAGAAAAAAAAGAATTATTAAAAAATAATATCAGAGTAGAAGGCCCAATCAAGAAAATAAACATTCAAATGTTCACCATCGGCTGATAATGCATTTTTTAGACTAATACACACTAATTTACATATTTTCCATACTACCCTCTTTCATACAAATAGATATAATATATTGCCTCCCACTAAGTTAGCATGTAACTTAAACTGATAGCATTTGCTGGCGATTCCAGTTTGAATTCTTCTTATCCTCACCATCTAAACGTTAGGCACAAGGAGCTATTCGTAGTTTCCCAAAGTTACTAATAAGTTTTATACAGCAGTGAAAACAGAGCGATTTAAATCTCAGCTCTGCTCAACACTGCTAATCATCAGGGAAATGCAAATCAAAACCACAATGAGCTACCATCTCACACCTGTCAGAATGGCTATCAACAAAAAGAACACAAATAACAAATGTTGGCCAGGATGCGGAGAAAAGGGAACCCTCCTACACTGTTGGTGGGAATGTAAATTGGTGCAGCCACTGTGGAAAACAGTATGGAAGTCTCTCAAAAAACTAAAAATATAACTACCATATGTGGAGCAATTCCACACCTGGGTATATATCTGAAAAAAAAAAAAAACACTAATTTGTAAAGATACATGCACCCCAGACTTCCCTGGTGGCGCAGTGGTTAAGAATCCACCTGCCAATGCAGGGACACGGGTTCAAGTCCTGGCTCAGGAAGATCCCACATGCCGCGGAGCAACTAAGCCCATGCGCCTCAACTACTGAAACATGCACACCTAGAGCCCATGCTCCGCAACAAGAGAAGCCACCGCAACGAAGAGTAGCCCCCGCCTGCCGCAACTAGAGAAAACCCACACGTAGCAATGAAGACCCAATGCAGCCATAAATAAACAGATAGACAAATATGTAAATTAAAAAAAGATACATGTACCCCAATGTTCACAGCAGCATTATTTATAATTGCCAAGATATGGAAGCAACCTAAGTGTCCATCAACCAATGAACAGATAAAGAAGGTGTAGTATATAAATATGATGGAACACTACTCAGCCACAAAAAAGAATGAAAATTTGCCATTTGCAGCAACATGGATGGACTTGGAGGGCATTATGCTAAGTGAAATAAATCAGACAGAGAAAGACAAATACTGTATGAAATCACTTATATGTGGAATCTAAAAAATAGAAGCTAATGACTATTACAAAAAAGAAGCAGACTCAGAGATATAGAGAACAAACTAGTGGTTACCAGTGGGGTGGAAGGGGGGCAATATAAGGGTGGGGGAATGGGAGGCAGAAACTACTGGGTGTAAGATAGGCTACAAGGATGTATTGCACAATGCAGGAAATACATACAATATTTTGTAATGACTGTAAAAAAAATTAAAAATTCAGATTTATCCAGGTGCTGACATGTTTGAAGATTAAATCCTAAGGATGAGTTAGCTATCCTGCAAAGTAAAAATTCTGGCCCTCTAATATACAATTAATTCATTTAGCTAACATATCATTTATATAATCATACCTGTAGTCTACCTCACTTCTCTTGAGACAAAGAGTTGACATGTCTAACAATTCTTAATTTATATATATAAATTGAGAAACAATGACTCAAAGAAATTTATGTTTAGAGCTACTTAGAACTTTACAAAGTCTGATAAGCACATGAAATACTTCTAAATTATGATAAGATGGTGATGACAGCTGATTTTTTTAAGTGTTTACTATGTGCCAGATATGTGCCTAGCATTTTACAAACTTAATCTCATTTAATACATACTTCACAAGTCCATGAGGTAGGTTCTATTAATGTTGATTCATTTTATACCTGAGAAATAATGTGATACTCAAAGGCTACTTAATCTAAGATCACATATGCTTATCTGATTTCAAAAGTTCAAGCCTTCACTTCTGGTAAAATAAAGAGTTTTTTCTTTAAAAGAGGTTAAATTTATTTAGGTAGTAGCAGCTCTTCAAAAGTCCACAGTACTAAGGGTAAGCTGGGACAAAGTGAGAGAGTGGCATCGACATATATACACTACCAAATGTAAAATAGATAGGGGGAAGCAGCCACATAGCACAGGGAGATTAGCTCGGTGCTTTGTGACCACCTAGAGGGGTGGGATAGGGAGGGTGGGAGGGTGGGAGATGTAAGAGGGAAGAGATATGGGGATATATGTATATGTATAGCTGATTTACTTTGTTATAAAGCAGAAACTAACACACCATAGTAAAGCAATTATAGTCCAATACAAATGTTAAAAAAAAGTCCACAGTACTTTCATTAAATCATATAGTAATCGTGTTCCTTGTCCCTGTCATTTTTTACGCATAGATACTTGTGTAAATACAGTACTTAATAATCTTAGTTCTCATGTGTGGTTTTTTGTTGTTGTTGTTGTTGTTTTTGGCCGCACCATGCAGCATGTGGGATCTTAGTTTCCCGACCAGGGATCGAACCCATGCCCCCTGCGGTGAAGCACAGAGTCTTAACCACTGGACCGTCAGGGAAGTCCCAGTTCTCATGTGTTATTAATTTCATTTATTCGTTATTGACAGTAGTTTCAGTTTTCAATTCAATGTTACACTGTTCATTAATCTCAACAAACCTGTTTTATTAAATTATATGTCCAAAAACTTACAAATCAACAAGTATTATTGACAGTGAAAAAAAAGCAAGCATTTTTTCATATTTTCAATTTTCTCAAAATGCAGTATTCCTTCATTCAACAAATATTAATTGAAAGCCTACTACATGCTACTCACTATTCTAAATATTCTGGAGGGCAGGAGAAAAATCTCTGCTCCACTGGATTTCAGGGAGGAGAGTAACAGACAAATGAGCAGATATATGAAAACGTAATAAGAACTATGAAGAAAGCTAAACAGGATACAGACGGATGGATAAGCGTGGAATTATTTTTGGTAGAAGTGATCAGGCAATGCCTCTGTAAGAAAGTAAATTTTGGGCTTCCCTGGTGGCACAGTGGTTAAGAATCCACCTGCTAGTGCAAGGGACATGGGTTCAAGCCCTGGTCCAGGAAGATCCCACATGCCGCCGAGCAACTAAGCCTGGGTGCCACAACTACTGAGCCTGCATCTAGAGCCCGCGAGCCACAACTACTGAAGCCTGTGTGCCACAACTACTGAAGTGCACGCGCCTAGAGCCCGTGCTCCACAAAGAAGCCACTGCACTGAGAAGCCCACGCATCACAACAAAGAGTAGCCCCCGTTCACCGCAACTAGAGAAAGCTTGCATGTAGCAACGAAGACCCAAAGCAGCCACAAATAAAGAAACACTTTCTTTAAAAAAAAAAAAGTAAATTCTGAACAAAGAACTAAATGCAGCTAAGGAATACGTCATCTGGGGAAGGAATGCTCCAAGTACAGGGAACAAACTTAGTATGCAAGTAATGACAAGAGGCCAGTGTGACTAGAGCACAGTGAGTGAAGTGGAGAATAGTTGTAGATGAGATCAAGAGAGGTGGTGAGAATCCACAGCTTGTACTAAGGTCTTAAAGGATGTACTATAACATATTTCCCATTATCGACTGAAGAAAAGGCCAGGTTCCCAGGAGGAAGGACTCTGCAATATGCTGGCAAATATATGCAGTAATGATTCTACTATTCCTTCCCCCAAAAGCAGTTACAACAATTTACTTGAGTAACTATATACTAGGGAAAGGGAAATACTCAAACTTTTTGAGGTCTGTTGTATACAGAGTCCTAGCTGACATTCTTGATTGACCCAAAGCACCATGGACTCAAGAGACATATGGGAGGAGGACATACGGGAGCCAAGTAATAAACATATTCCTAGCCAAATTCAAGCTCACCATCAGTCCAATGGGCCATTAGCCCAACTAG